TATATATATATATATATATATATATATATATATATATATATATATATATATAATACGCAACGAAGTATTATGTAATGAGCTCACCTGAACACCAAAGGGCAGTAATCTTTCCATCTGAATTCACAGGATTGGTGTGGAGGTGTATGTTTTGATCCTTCAGGAGGGAACTTTGTCCACACCTTTTCTTTGGGGTCAAAGGCCGATGATTTCAGCTCAACATGAGATGGACCTTGTTTTCCAACCGCATGTCTATGCCACAGCAAACATTAGATTGTTGACCATTAAATGCTGGAGAATAATAACAAAATAACAATATAAATCAATTTATTAATTCTAAGAGTTTATCCAATAAACAAACAAGTAGTTAACACACTGTCCTGAAATCTTCTTGATCAAGAATTGCATGAACATAAAGCCCTAATGATTCTTCCATATATGCCATCTTCTAGCAAGTTCACCATAAACATTTCCTTTGTTTTCACGGACACAGCTCATTATTAATTTATTTTTTCTGCAACAGTCTTAATATTGATAATATGAAACAGCAGAACTTATCACTAATTATCTAAAATCTAAAAGATCCAATTGATCATCCCATTCAAATAAATCAATTGGCAAAAACATAGGACATAGAAGAATAGCATTCTTTGGAGTATTAACTACATATAGAGTCTTATTGCTCCTTTTATCGAAAACGACAATCAATGTCTACCAAGAATCTCCATGAAGAAATGGTTGCAAAGAAAGTTAGACAACCAATTAGTGAAGTGGAAGGACACAGTTTGAAGTATTTTAAAGCTGATTGGGATGGGATCACAATTCAACTTCTCTTGTTGCAGAATTCTAGCATGGTTTTCCTCAGATGTGTCACTAAGATCTGTGTTTTCCAGGTCTTCATGCCTTTGACAATACCAACTATAACATCACTGTCATCGTAAAATTTCCACCAAATGCTAATAAAGCTACACAGAAAAACATTACCTGATCCCAAGCTGGAGATTGAGCATTAGTTCATAATTCTTGTGCCCTTTTGTGATGGTTTCCCCTTGCCTCTTCGCAGCCCTTGGAGGTGGCCAACGTGGATTCAACGATAATTTCACGTCTGCGTCACCTCGTGATGCCGCTGAACCTCGATCGACAATGTCAAAACTGATATCGCCATTGGACTTACAAATGCCGATCCGGTCGGACCACCTCTCTCCTCCCAAAATGTCACTAGATCCAATGATGGTATTTGTCCTACCATTCAGCCGTCTGGGTGGCAAACCAGGATCAGCATTATCGACCGAACCACGTGACACCTCCGTGCCGGACCAATTGAGGGTCTTCTGAGAGGGAAGTATCGACAGAGTGTCCCCTGGCGAGATCTTGCACCCCCGAAGGTCAGCTGTAAAAGCCTCCTGTGGGTCTCGGGCAGTGGGGGAGCTCGCAGAGGGTGATGGGTAGTACACCCCCTTTTGTTGGATCCCTGCATTTTCCTTAGTCCACACCCCGACATAGAGGCTGCCGTCGGGCCATCGGAAGTTACCATTGCCCCTCGGAGATCCATTGTCCCACCCACCATCGTACCGATTGCCATTGGCCCAGATGAGGGATCCTCGGCCATGGATTACCCCAGCGCGCCACTGCCCGACGTACTCAGCGCTGTTGCTCCAGACGTAGCGGCCATGGCCATCCTGCAGGCCGGAGCGCCACTCCCCGTCGTAATAGTCGCCGTTGGCATAGAACTTCTTGCCGTGGCCGTGCTTCAGGTTCATGGACCAGCTTCCACGGTAGGTATCGCCGGAGGCACCAGTGTAGGTGCCGAAGCCATCCATGAACCCGGCCTTGAACTCGCCCTCGTAGGTGGCACCGGATGGCCACGAGAACTTGCCGCGGCCGGTGGTCTTGCCCCGCCGCCACTCGCCCTCGTAAATGCACCCATCCGTCCACACGTACTTGCCGGTGCCATGCGGGACGCCGCCGGACCACTGACCGGTGTACGAGTCGCCACCAGGGAAGAGGCGTTCCGCGTGGCACACCTTTCCGTCCTCCTCTGCCGCCGAGTTGCCGTCGCTCCCTCGCGGGGAGCTGGCTTCGAAGTTGTCGTCGGCGGGCGCGACGGACATGGGGGAGATCTGGCAGACGCGTCGGCGGCTGCCTGACTGATGTGAATGCAGTTGCTGCGCTTTGCGGACGGCCGACTCCCAAGCCTTAATGTTGTGCTGCTGCTTCTGCTGCTTCTGCTGCTCCTTCTCCTTCTTGTACATTATGTTCCCGCTGCCTCCGCTCCTCCTCCTCCTCCTCCGCCTATTGCATCGGCATCAGAGCCGCGGCCACCACCATTGCACATCCCATGAGTCCTGGCCCGCTCACATCTCCGGCAACAAAATGGTGACGGAGAGAGACATGGGAGCAGACCGAAGCCGAACGAGGTCGGTCAAGGAAGAAAGGGAGAAATGAGGTGTTGTGGTGGGCTTATGTTTCTTATGTTTTCTCACCCCTTTTTTTAGTTCCGATCAATGTAAAATAAAAATAAGGAAAAATAAAATAAAGAAAAGGTAAAATGGATTATTATTATTATTATTATTATTATTATTATTTTGCTGTTGTGTTGGCTGTTAATTGCTCTGATATTAGCAAATCGTGGAACAATTGCAGGTTGGGAAGCCTTCGTCATACGATATGATCCATTTGTATTCGTATTCTCTATGCTTGGCTTAGGGTTCGTGCGCACCATTTCGTTACAGGTGAGGGAGCGGCGTGGATTATTGTGGCTATTTTGGCACAGGCGCTTTGACCGCTTCCCACGACAACGCCGGCTCGATTTTAGAAGGGTTGGCAGCAAACGCGATGCGGGGCCGTTGGTGGCCTTTGCCACCTTAGCCTTCGATGGGAGCCGCGAGCAAGAAGTGAGCCACGTTGTTCGTTGACTTTCCTCGTCAACGTTGTCTGATGCTAAATTTGGGTCGTCCTCTCGATGGACCGTTCTATGTTTCCTCCGAGTGGTAATACTTTACGGCTTCTTTTTTGGTGATACGCTCACTTTTTTTAGCTTCTGTTGCTGCCAATAAACATCAATTTAATTCCCAGTAAATTTTCTTTTCTACGGAGATATCACTAGGAATGAGTTTGCCATTCAAGACAAGTTAATATTATTATTATTATTGGTTCCTAGTAAATTTATGAGTCTTTTGATTCACCAATTTTTCAATTAATATGGATTAAATATTTTTATCAGTGCTCTCACATGGAACAAAGAATTTCTAAGTCCATCGAATTATTTTTACCCTTAGAGATATTTTTTTAGAGGTGGGACATGGATAATTCATCGCGAACCTATAGGATCACCATAAATATTGATTTATTAGATTAGCATTAGATGAATCAAGAGTTTATAAGTTCGTCGAGTCACTCTTATCCTCAAAAGCGTCTATAAGGCTCATAAATCCTGAAAGAATAAAACTATGCTCAAAACGAATAATTCCTCGAATATCTCATGAATTGATATTGCTTATCTTTATATTAATCATGGCCAAGATTCCAATTGGGATTACGTTCCTATATATATATATATATATATTGCATAAGTTGATTATCCTTAAAATATAAATATTAATTAGTTTAATTGATAAAAAAAAACTCTTATATGATATTGGCATCTGTTTTTTGCTATTTATGTAGTTGACTTTGAATTGTATTGAAAGACATCTAATTTGTATTAAAACTATATCGAGAGCATGTGTCTCTTCAATACCGTAGTTAGTTTGAGAAATACAATGATGATAGAATGTAGAAATATTATGTGTAGGAATGTACTTGAGGAGCTTTTTTTATAATATGATATTTTTTATCATTTTACTCATCAATAAATATTTATGTGGAGCATGCTACGCTAAATTTGTATTATGTACAATAAATATGATACGGTTAGTAATATTTCAATAACGAGATTATATCAATCTGTTAAAATATTGAGATGCATCAACGAAGCGTTAATCATATAGCACTGAGGTGTCGATCATGTAACATCGAGGTGTTGATCACGTGATTATCGAAGTGTTAGTTTTGTGTCTAAAATTATTATTTTCTTATCATATAATAAATATATAAAATATAAAAAAAATATTAAAACAGGGTCTAAAACCAAAATAGTTTATATTTATATATATTTATAACAACAAGGTTAAGACTTGTTTATTTTTGTCTCGTTATGATTCATGATCGAAAATGGTGTCTTAAAATAGCAATCGATGCCTGTGAATTGGTTTTCGGGTCAATGATCCGGTCTCCATCTCTCGCTTGTGATCCGCGTCAATGTCAATTTCTCGAGTCATATCTCGATTTGACTAACCAAACCCATCGCATCCCATCCCATCCCATCTGATTCACTCGCGCCCGCGTAAACCCATGACACAGGAAGCCACCGACCCAGCTGTCCGCATCAGAACTAGCTGAGCCCTCAATGGCGACAGCTGAGACTCATGCAGACGATCCACGTGTCTATCTAACGTTATCTTCAAATGTCTTACGTGTTCTCGTCACCATCGTCACATACATAGCCACAAAGAAGAACGACGCCGCCGCGGACATGGAGACTTCGCAAGGAAAAGAAGAGCCGCAACAGCTGCACAACGAGAAGGAAGAGGACAGGCCCCAGAACCATGACAGCAGTACTAATCGGCCAATGCCTCTCATGGCGCTCAATCACGTCTCCAGGCTCTGCAGATCGGTGGAAGCCTCCGTCGAGTTCTACACCGCCGTGCTTGGCTTCGTCCCCACCGGTCGCCCTCCCACCCTCGACTTCAACGGCGCATGGTATCGAAACCCCCTACCCGCTCCACCTCCTCCGCCTTGACCGGTGAATAGTAAGCATGTGCGTGAACCATCAGGCTGTGGTTCAATTACGACGTGGGAATTCACCTGGTGCAGGAGGAGGACGGAGGTGACCTCCCCGATGCGTCCCTTGACCGTCTCGATCCGATGGACAACCACATCTCTTTTCAGGTCTGGCCCTGCTCATCATCGCCGTCGTCTTTTTCTTCCTTTCGCCGCTCTTTGCTAGCTTCTCTTCGCATGCTGCGTTGGTAGTGCGAGGACATGGGGGCGATGGAGCAGAGGCTGAAGGATCTGGGCGTGAAGTACCTGAGGAGGACCATCAACGAGGAAGAAGGGTCGCCGATCGACCAGCTGTTCTTTAACGATCCCGATGGGTTCATGATCGAGATCTGCAACTGCGAGAACCTGGAACTCGTCCCTGCAGGATTCCTGGGGCGGTCTACGACCCCCCGCTCAAAATGAATCGCTCGGATCAGACCTCGGAAATCACGCGCTCGTTATGGAAGAACGTGGACCGTTAGATCAATGAACCTGCTTTTCGACGAACTGTTTAGGATTTTAAGTGTTTCTTCTGTAAAATTCTTATGTAAATCTTTTCTTTTACATAATAATAATAATAATAAATCATCGATTTCAACTAAAAACACAGGGAATAATTATTATTTTTCATTATTAACTTGGAAAAACTATAAATTTCTTCGTCCTTTTAAAAACTATTTCATTTTGTACCCTTCCGTGTAGAACATGACACTTGTGTTCCGAGGTCGACAAAATAGGGGACGTACAACCAAACTCTCACAATCCTTTAATTAATACAAAAGTATTGGGACGATCACACTCGGTCTACTGCATTCCAGGATTGGGATCCTCTCCAACTTTCTATTGTGGTTCATCATTAACAGAGGGTTGAGATTTTGTTGTTGAGAGATCGAGGGCGAACGATGGGGATGTCTTTATGAGCTCTGGGTTACGAAATTGGAGAGGATCCCATGCTGCCTCACCATAGCCAGAGAGTAAAGACGACGGGCTTTGATCGCTGCGACAGACCGAGCCGCTGTCTCTCGCACGCACAAGCCACCCTCGTTTCCTTCCTCCCGATCCTTGTCGTGCTTCCGAAGCTTCGTGCGCGCGAACCGGAGATCTTCCCCCACCCTCTCTCTCCTCCGCTCCGTCCGTCTCGAGATCCGCGGAAGAAGCGACGGAAGAGAAGCTTGGGCTGCGGCGAGACGGGCGACGGGATCGGCGGTGGAGAGAAGTCGAGCGCCGTTCCTCCTGCTTCGTCTCTTCCCGATCCCCGCTTCTTGAGGGGGAAGAATGGGATCTAGGGTTTTTGTTGGGCTCTGCTCATCGCATTCGCTTTCTTGGTCCGGTTTTGGCGGGATATCGATGTAGGTTTCGATCTTGGGACTGGGAAGGAGGGTCGGCGGTGGTCCTTGCCTCGATCTGGAATGGCGAATTAGGGTTCGGTTTATCGGTTGTTTTTGTCGGTCTTAATTGAAGTGAAATGGGAGGGAATTAGGTCTCTTGTTTTGTTGACGTTTTTTGATCGTTTTTACTTCTTTGATCGGAAGACGTTGAGAGACTGAGGAACAAAGGTTGGGAATAGCTGGTTTTTGGTGATTTCTTGCGTTCTTTCTTGCCGTTGGAAGTGAGGTTGATGGGGAATAAGATAGGGAGGAGGAGGCAGGTGGTGGACGAGAAGTACACAAGGCCGCAGGGATTGTACCACCACCGCGACATTGATGAAAAGAAACTGAGGAAGCTCATTCTGGAGTCCAAGTTGGCGCCGTGCTACCCTGGAGGCGATGAATGCGCTCTCGATCTTGAAGAGTGTCCCATTTGTTTTCTAGTTCGTATTCGACCTTTGCTTTTTCTGACGTTTCAATCCTGATTGATTGCATTTAGAGCAATTCTTGATGTAGTTCACTTGATTTTCCCTTTTTTGTTGTATTATTGTAGAATTATCCGAGTCTTAATCGATCGAGGTGTTGCATGAAAGGCATATGCACGGGTAATGCAAATTTCTCTCTGTTGTTGAAAAGCTTTTTGGTTCAATCCTTTTTATCCATGTTGTCTGTATCCATATTCCTTTTTTGTTTAATTTTCTTTTAACTTAAATTTTGATGCTTCTTGCAGAGTGTTTCCTTCAGATGAAACCACCTCATGCAACTCGCCCTACAGAGTATCCTTTTCTGTTTTATTTTTTGCTGCATCATAATTTGGATCATGCAAGGTTTACTGCTTAACCTGATAGGTGCCCCTTTTGCAAAACTTTAAATTATGCTGTTGAGTACCGTGGTGTGAAGACAAAAGAAGAGAAGGGATTGGAAGAAGTTGTAAGTTTTTTCTAGTTTGCTCAACTTTTCCCGCCTTCTTTCTTGATTTGTGAGTGTACATTTGCTTGTCAATGATGTTCGAGTTGTCTCTAAATAATTCTGCTTAAGAGCAGGAAGAGCAGAAGTTCATCGAAGCACAAATAAGGATGCAACAACAAGAAATTCAGGATGAAGCAGAAAGGCTGAAGAAAAGAAAAGATATAAGTTCTCCGAGTAGAATAATGAATGACGCAGAAGTGGAGTATTGTGACATAGGTAGCACGTCGCTTTCAGATCCTCTTTCCACTAAATATTCTTGTTTTTGATTATTAAACTTCTTTTATATTGATTGCTAAAGTAGGTCTATGTTTCTTCATGTTGTATTGAAAACTCGACAGTTCCGTCTCTGAGATGCACAACACAAATAAATGATTTTGTTTCATCTCAAGCTTCGTGCTCGGTGCCGGCAGGCATGCTGCCTTCACACTGTAGACAGAACAGGTACAAAGTGCACTCACTTGTTTCAGCTTTTTCTACTAATTTAGTAATTCTGTTCTGGTATGGCCAGTGATTCATCCTATTGGAAAACATAGATTTCTAACCACTTTTATGAAGGTGATATGGTTTGATCTTTTTATCAACTCTCTCGGTACTTGAGTGTTTGTTGTTTACTGCTTCTGTTAACTAGCTCGTAGTATATATGCTTAGGAAACCTTCCACTAATTATCATTTAAAATTTTCTTTCTTTTGCCTGGTCTCTGAGTTGGTAACTTCTATGTTCTGGGACTTCTATTACATTGTGAAAGTATTTCTTAGTGAGAGAACATTCAAATGCTGGATTTTGATTTTGTTTCTTAATAATGGGTAAATCGGATTCTTGATTGCTGCCTACCCTTGCTCATAGACTTGGTTGACTTGAGGTTCTGAATTGGTCATTAAATGCTTACAAACATATCTCAAGTAATTAAAGCATATAGATTGAGCTTTTGAACTGTTGAATCTGGTGCATGATGTCAACACTCAACAGTAGCCATATCTTAGCTTGTTGCCTTGTTATCTTTTTTTATTGGCAATATAAAATTCTGAATGCTTGTTTTCTTTTATTGTCTCAGGCATTCCAAATTTATATGCTTATAAAGTTATACTATTTGCCATATCTCGTTCATGTTTTTTAATCTAGTTCACATTCAACTTGATCAAATGTATTTCATCTCAGTCCATCTTATGAAATTGTTGTAAACTCTTATGGAATCTTACAAGAATATAACAGATCAATAGTCTCCCCCAAGGGGTAACATTTGAGTACTCCATTTTGGAGTTTGGCCCATGTGACTTTGGATTGAGTTATGACAAATATAAGAGAAAAAATTGTTTATGATATGTTTGCACATTGGGACTGATTATTCTTCCCGGTGAATCTTCAATCCAATGGGTATGCGCACCATGGATGGTCTCGGTGGTGTGGTGAGCTATGTCATCTCCCGAATTCCACATCACCTAAAATAGATCTTGATAGACTTCTACGGAATGTATGTGTATGTGATAAGGACATTGGGTATTTGACTCGAGGAGATTGTGATACCCCAACATAATTCAACACCTATCACCATCCGCCCCGTTGGAGAACCTTCTAAGCACTCCTTTTTGGAAGGTTTGACCCATGTGGTTTCAAGCTCTGGTCATTACAAAAACTGCTTGTGGCCTTACTTAAGAGCATATAATTTAATTTTTTATGATCAATGGCAAGCTACAAAACTAAAAAGTGCAATTTTTGGTCTTAAGTCCAATGGGTACACAAAACTAAAAATTCTTTTTCCTTTCTTTAATTTTCATAACTGTAAACTACACACGATGGGCATGCAGCTAGGGAGGCATTTATATCTTATGGTTGGCATGTTCTCGTTCATTTGTCATCTTATCTTTATTTGGAACTTTGTACAATGCAGAGCTGACAATTTTGACCGTGATCTTGATGACATTATGGTCATGGAAGCTATCTGGCTTTCTATTCAGGTAATATAGGTTACTAGTTATAGTTAAATTGCAGGAACTTGATCCAAATGAGTTAATACTGGGAGTAATATTACACAAAATTTGTGGCTTTTCTTAAATTATTCTTAATTGTTTATCCTTGAATTATGAGGTAAGTTTCATGCAATTTGAAACAGTGTTCATTCATAACATGTTCAGTAACTTATCAATTTAATGTTTTAAATCATTATATTATGCCCTCAATTTTTTTTTCATCATGCTGCTTGGTTTTGAAGCTTTTTTTTGAGTCTATTATTGCTAGTTTCATGAGACTGCTTTCTCTTTGATATTGTGATATGGCGCTTTTGATCCTAGAAATGATATTGCCTCTAATAATGACACAAAATGTAGATGCTGGTTCTATATATATATATGTATATATATATGTATGTATGTATGTATATATATATATGTATGTATGTATGTATATATATATATATATATATGTATGTATGTATGTGTGTATGTATGTATGTATGTATATATGTATCTGTATATATGTATGTATATATATATATATATAGACAACAATCTGTGACTTGGATCATTTAGAGCTGGAATTGCAGCAAGCTTGTATTATTCGTCTAAATACAATTAGCATTTTATATTGAATAGTAATGGCAATATGAAGCTTAGGACCCTGTACTGATATTCATGCCCAAATTTTCTAAGAATGGATTGACACTCTAATTTGTTGATTTTTTCAAGACACTTAAACAAAGTTCACCAAATATATTATTGATGATTTGAGGAATAACAGAAAGGAGACTAATCTTCTTCTCTTTGCTGTAAGATATGTTATTGTTCTATCTGAACTTAGTCCTAGTCATACTTTAAGATAACACCAATCTCTCGCAATACATGATGTAATAATGCTTTCCAGGATGAGGCTAGTTAAAAATGTATGGTCAGTCATGCATTTTATTCATGTGATTCTATTTTCTGTTTGCTTTGTTTTCTTTTATTTTACTTCATCATGCTTTCACTATGCTGCTATTGTCAAAGGTACTTACTGTTCTATTAGGATACACTTTCCTTTGCCCAGTCGTATTTACCCCTCTTAGTATGAGCCTTGTGTTCTAGGCAGTCAGGTGGGTGCAAAAGCTAGAATCTGCAAAATCACTTAACAGCTTGACGTTGCCTGTTGTTTTAGACCATGTAAGAGCACATAAGCATCAGGATTTCCCATTTGGTTGAACTGACTGAGACTCAGCTCATTTGAGACAGGGAAACTACTGGGAGGAGTCCTGTTGTCTTGATGGTGCTATTTAATAACCTCAGTGAGCAATGGATTTTACTTGTATTAGAGAAGTTACTATTAATAGGTTATCCAATCTAGTGTGTGCTAATTCTCATCGTCTGTGCAATATATACTAGACGAAAACTTATGCAATAAGGACAAATTTAGTCTTCTTTAACATTCAATCTTATTGAAATCTCAAGGTTTTTTGTGTATCAGATAGGACATAAGATTCTTTTAAAAAAGTTGTTCCAGACTTTCAATTATTCAATTTTGAACCTTCATGTGCCAAAATAATTATTTTTGGATGAGCCATCTATTTTCTCAATTTATGAGAATTGGGAAATTACGGTTCTTCCTGCTGTTACAAATTTACACATTGCTAAAGGTTATTGGATTTGATCAAGTTTGGATGTTACATAAGCAACGAAGAGTTGTAGTTTGACCCCTGCATCAATTGATCGGTCCATATTGATGAAGTCAAAATTATCACTTCGATTGAGTTGAGGGAATGTTTGTTATCCAGTCTATCTTTTGTTTATGCAATATGTTTGCTCTAGTTTTGTATACTATTTAGGTATTACTCCATTTCGTGACTTTTCTTTGTGCTTTGTAATATCTGTCAGAGAGGGTCCATTATGTTTTGCACAATGTTTATATCCCTTCGTGTTTGGATAGGAGTCCAACCAAAGAGGATTCCTTAGATTTTCTACAGGGTAGTTGAAAGAAGGAATTCTACTTTGTTGTTTAATCAGTAGTTTGTTCCTTTAAAATTGTTTCTTTTGATGATCATGAAAATCTACCAGGCATAAGTGGCTGGTGATTTTTTTCATCTGGAGAAAACACACACACACACATAAATATAAATATAAATATAAATATATATATATATATATACATATACATATACATATACATATACATATACATATACATATACATATATATATACATATATATATACGTACATTCATATATATGCATACATATATACGTA